TTTTTTACCTTCCAATTCCCATTTTGAGCAAAAGACAAATGAAAAATTAGAATTGGTAGTATTTAAAAAAACTTTTAATCCATTTATGTTCATTCTTAATTTTCCAACCTTTATTAATTTTGTCTTATTTAAATAGAATTCAGTTTTATTGCATAAATTCAAACTTAGATTTTGATTTTGTTGTTTTATTAATGCATATGTTTCTCTTTTATATCTTTTATACAATTGATAATGATTTGTTATAACATTGAAAATTGCAAATAGGTCTGAATGGGAAAATAAATTCATCAATTATCAACATTCTACCATTCTAATAAAGATAATTATTTTTTTGTCCAGTTCAACTAGGATTTTTCAACAATTCTCTACAAATCTAACCCTTACTTTTTTCAGACAAGTGATGTAATATTTTTAAAGTCAGTCTTTCTTTGATCAAACTTTAACAAACCTCTCTCTCTCAACCTTTTAATAATGTTAATTTACTATTGATAGTTTCCTCTTATTCATAAATTTTATTTTTGAATCAATCCAATAAAAGGAAAGTCTTTGTTGTGAGTCATTAAAAACTCATTTTTTATGATTGTTCTTTGGAAAACTACTTCCTTTTTTCAATATGTCATCTGCTTGTTTCAGCAGTTGTTGAATAGCAACTTTCTTAAAGATTTCTTTAAACAACACACTCTCTTGCTAACAAACACATTTCTAAATTTAATTTTAAAAACTCAATTCTTGCTTTGTTCAACAAATAAAATAATTCTTGTTTTGCTCAGATCTATTTTAGAATTACAAGCATGTATTGTATGTTCATTTACGTTTTGTTCTCACAAAGTAAAGATTATAAAGGCTACTTATTATCCTACTAAATATGTCCCTCTTCTTACAAAATCCTCCAATCCCCACATTCTTACAATAAGGTAAAGAGCGAGAAAAATTTGTATATATAGTACTTTTTCACCTAAATAATTTTCATAGAAGAGCTGGAAAACATAGACTTTAGTTTACTGACATGGTGTTGAAGTTTTATAACACTTTAAACAAAAGGATCCCAAATTATGAAAGTTTTTGGTTGATGATATATGTTTTCTATGAAGGAATTTTTTCAAAAAAAAACATTTTCAATATATCAAAAAAATAAAAAGATTAGTTTGTTCATTATCATTAGTAAGTGGACAACTGCATTAGGATATCAAGTTCCTCTTAATAGAGTTTTTGTATTATATACATATACATTTTATCAAAATATTTCATTGTTGATGTACACATTTAGGCAGTTTCCATGCACCATACACAAATACTTTCCAAGGAGTACACACACTTCATAGTGTGCACCCAAAATTGTTACATTCCATTCATCAATGGAAAAGCAGTATTGGAATTGTATTATAAAGTACTCTAAACGCCTAACTTGCAACATACACAATTATTTATACTAATTTACAATTAATTTGATTACTAAGCCTAATTAACTTATATGCACACTTGTAGGTTGTAATCGTGCACTGTACACATATGCTTACCAACGAGTTCTAGTTTATGTTGTACAACTTACGAATATATTTTTATTATGTTTGAAACTATTATAATAGGCCTAATACTTATGCCACACCCAAACAACTTAAGAAAAACACATTAACCTTTCAACAAGTTATAATTTAATTAACTTTCATAAAAGACAACAATTATGTTTAGTGGACTTTGTGACATCCTGTTACTAAAGATAAACATAAACTAGAACATTCTCCAACTGCAAACTGATGATTAGATATCAGTGACAAACCAAAGAATATATAAACTCTCATAGTTTTATTTGAAGCAGAGCCTCTCTCTCTCATCTCTATCTCTACATCCCAATTGGAGAAGATAATCTGGAAACAAGCTGAAGTCTGAGACTCCTACTCTCTTTGGTTGAAAGCTACTGGGTATCTTGGCTGGTGCTACAAACTATCTACCTTGCTATTGAACTTTGATATATCTACTTGCTTAAGTATCGTATTTTGAATAAATCATTTAAACTTAAACATTTTTGTGTAATTATTTTCTAAGCTTCTTATGATAATAATTGCTTCATCTGTTTCACAAAATGATTGTCCAGGTAGACAGTCTTCCACATAATCAAGATTGGTGGTAATCATCATATTTGGTGGTTGCAAATATGCTGTCCCCAACTGTATGATTGTGGTGTATTCCAAGACCACTGTAGTTTTTAGCCATGTGTAGGCTGGATGATAATGATCTTTGTGAACCCATGTATTTCCTTTGATAGTTAAGGGTTTGCTCTGGAAGGATTGTCTGTTTTCAACCATATGTTTACACTGTTTAGGGCTTATTTTAACAACAGAATCCTCAATTCTTCTTTTCTTAGCTCCAAAGAAGTAATAGGTATAATAATTTGTTCTTTGATTTACCTGACATTTGATAGCATCAGTTTCAATTTCCTTCAAATTCAATTCATAAATATCAGCTGTAATAGTCTTTGTTTGCTGAGATTCTATATTGCAAACAGGTTTATCTGCTAGATCAAAAGCTTGATTAGGCAGTTGATTATTACAAAAATATAGAGGTGGTTTAAATGTTAATGTAATATTTGCACTGGTAACATGTGCAGTTTTGTAGGATGATTTTAACATTGCCACTGAATTAGTACAACTCAATGTCATTATTAACAAAAACAATGCAGGGAACAATGAGATTTGTTTACTTTTTGGTGTTGTCATACCTGTAATTGATGAAATTTCTGGGGGATTTATGTCTTGTTCCTTTGCCAATTTAAGTCTGCTACCATGAACAAACTTGAATGTGTCATTATCCATTTCTAGCTCATAAATCCAGTTTTGATGGTTTACCTTAGTTATTCTATAGGGTCCTGTCCATTTTAGAGAAGGTACTTTTGTTATGGCTATTCTTGCACCATCATTCCTCAAAAATACTTTATCATCAACATTGAAATATTTTGGAGGAATCAAATTCTTGTTCTTTCTTTCTCTGTATTGTTCTTTTGCCATAATTGATTTACAAATGCAGTAGCCCTCAATTGTTCTAATTGTTGTTGGTGACTGAATACAAATAGGGCAATGGACTCTGTAGAAGGTATGTTCATAGTCACATCTATTAATGTTCTTGTTTTGATACCAAAGAGAAGTTCTTGTGGGGGCACATCTGTACTCCCTACTGGTGATTGATTCAAAAAAGCTTGTATCAATGGTAGGTTTGCAACCCAATTATCTACATTTTCTTCCAAAACCAATTTGTTGATTTCACTTCTTACCTCTCTGTTTCTTCTTTCTACTAGTTCATTACTTTGACTTCTATAAGCAGTAGTTTGAATTTTATTAATACATATGAAACTCCAAAATCTGATCATTGAAACAACAATAACAACAACAGACACATCTATTGTTCCATTGTCCAGCGTACTTGGTCAAGTAGACAAATGAAATGTCAGTATTTCAGTACTTTTCCAATAAAATGTATTGAAGAAATATCAGAATACAACTGCCAGTTCAGCAAAATAATCAATTTGATAGATAAAAGTTAGGACATTTTCAAGTTTCCTTCAATGTATGGACTATTGTCCATAAAATATAAATTATTTATCATAAGTGTAAGTTTGTCAAAATTCGCCCATCCTAACCCATCGAAAATAGCATTGATTATTGAATGTTCCATTAAAAGATTGCCTAATGAAATTGTATTTGCGTTAGATTCATTTGAAATTGTAATTGTTTCAATAGGCCTCTTTGAATATTCAAAATATGAGCTGATTAATAGGGGTGGAGAGGCACTTAAGCTTTGGTTGAACAAACATGACAACTTGAACAGTGCAACAATTGCAAATTACTTAAATTTGCCTTGTAAACTGATCAATTACCTGACAATTTTAGCAAATTTCTTTCAAATGTTTGACTTGTTCATCGCTTAAATCGCAATTATCCACAAATATTTTAATTAAAGTACTTGACATTGATTTAAGCGATTGGCATACGTCTTTAAACCCATTACCCATTTCTTGATTACCCAATAATTCAATGGTAAGCAAATCTTGACAAACTTCAAATGTTTCAGCCAAATATTTGGTTTGAATATCATTTAAATGGTAGTCCTTTAATCTAATTTCTTTTAAAGTTCTCGACGAAGATTGAAGTCCATTGAAAACTTTTAAAAGTCCATTTCCCATTTCTCTATCTTCGGATAAATCAATAAATTCCAATAAAGAACAAATTTCAAGTGTTTTTCCTAAATATAAATGCTTGCTTATCATTCGAATAACACTGCCCAATATTAAGTCGTTTTAGAGAAGGAGAAGAGAATGTTAACCCTTCGCAAATAGATTGAAATCCATTTTCCATATATAAATTCCCAGATAATTGAATGTCTTCTAAAGAATAGCAAACTTTTAAAGTCTCTCCTAAAAATTCTACTTCCGTTTTAGATAAATTGCATTCATTTAATGCAATAAGTTTCAAAGTGTTTGAAGATGATTTTAATCCTTTACAAAAAATCGTTTGAAATCCATTTCCCATAAATCTATTTCTAGACAAATCAACCTGCTGAATAGATGAACAAAATTCAAATTGTCCAAGATATTTAATATTCCTTGAAGTTCGTTCACAATTCACAACAAACATTTCTTTTAATGTCTTCTCAACAGCCTCCCGCAAAGAATTTTTGTCTTTTCAATTTTAATTTATACCTATTGAATAAGCTCTAATACAAAATTCTAACTAGATTGCGATGACTATTGTATTCAAAACTACCTAAAGAACGATGGAAAACGAGACTGTTTTATAGATATAGATGAGAGCCTGAAAAGAAATGTATTCTTTCCAAATGAAAGTTCGTGCCATTCTTTAAAAACCATCGTAGGAACATTCAAGAGTGATTCTTGCGTCAGAACTTTCTGCCCATATGGATAATATCCTTGTCAGAGAGATAGTTATTGTATATCTATAGAACAGGTTTGCGATGGTTCATTTGATTGTTATTTTATACTAACATTTGAATGCGTATTGTTTCCCAAATGTCATATATTTGCACCTGAGGAATGCAACAAAGAGAGCAGAAAATGCGATAATCTTAAATGGATTATTAAATGTTTTAGAATAATTTGTTATAAGACTAGGCTTCTGTCATTTTGTGATTGATTGCTGAGGAGAGTTGGGGAGGGTTAAGTGGTAAAGGGATTAGGTGGAAATCCTATACAACTATTAAAAATGCTGACAACAACCTCCATAATTTCTCTTTGTAGTTTATCGATATTAATGTAAGTTGTATTTTTCCCAACAGCTCGGCTAATTTGACAAACAAGTCCAACTGCAAGCTATTTATTCTTGTGGTGGACTTTGGCTTAACTAATAATAACAATAATCAATTCAACTAAACAAGAGTTGATTGTAAATAGAGTCTGTAGGGTAAGAGGTGCATATAAGATATATTAAAATTGTATTTTGTGAAACTGCCAATCAAAAGACGAAATGTCATAGTTTGTCTTCATAAAAGTATTCTATTCATTTTCTTTGTTATTCACACTGTCAATCAGAAGATGTGTACGTATTTTACGAATTGTCGTAGCAAATAATGATTAATTTCAATATAATGATCAGATTTCGAGCAGAGAAAAAGTTGATATTTCGAATACCAGTACTGATCTTCGATCTCAAAAAATCGACATAAATCTGTTGAATAATTAGCTCCATTGTTGATTGTGTAGACAGCAATTGGCTCGTCACTCTTTGTAGTCTCTGCCACAACATGGAAGAAGGAATTTGAGGTACTAGGTAGATCAGAGATTGGATACGTTAATTTATGAATATTCTCAGAACAGTCGGATTCAACTGGAGAGGAAGAAACAAGAGAGATTTTAATAAAGACTCAGTTAACAAAATGAAATAAGAGTTGTTCATGTTAATTTTCCATACCTTTTTGTGTTAAAGCTGACACTGCAATGAGATCAATTTCGGAAATTGCTTGATTGTCTTGCGGTGTAATTACTATATGATATGTTAATAGAAAGTTAAATTTTGCACAAACTGTATGAGACCATAAAAATTCTCCAGATGTTGTCTTAGTCGAAAAATTTTTATGTAAAAAGTTTAAAACTTTTACCAAAATTCCTTGTTGGGTAGAACTCTGGTGAAAGACTAAAAGCAGGGAAAGTATTAAAGGTTCTACTTTTAAACAAAAACAAGACTCTACTCATTTTTTGTCTAACCTCTCAAACAAACATGAGTTAGGTGAGTTAGTTTAGTTGCTAACACCAAATCTGTATTTGACTGCACAGCTAATTTTCCATCATTGTCATTGATATAATAGACACTATCTTGCATCAAATTCAAATCACTAGTTGATAATGTAGCATCGTTCAAAGTTGCCCTAACCAGCTGTGCTTTAAATGCATTTCCAAGTTCTTAAAGACAAAGAACCAAAGTTAAGATTTTTGAAATCTCTCTGCAAGATTTAATTTCTTCCTTATTTATCTACAAACCTTGCGGTTGTCTTGTGTCAATTGGAGAGGCGTACACAAACAATTCCATAAACTCTAATAGCTTTTCTGTATTCCCAGAATCCACTAAACTGGTAACTATATATCTACCAGTAAGAATTGGGTCACAGACAACAGGAAAATACTCGAAAGTGAACTGAAAAGTTGCCGATTGACTTTCAATACAAAATTTACTGTTTGGATTAAAAATTGTTTCTGGAATATGTTTCACAGCAACGTAAACATTTCTAAATCTTCTTAGCTGGCCTAGATTAAAAGAAAGTTCTCTCTCAAGGTCTACACTTTCTTCTCATTATGACACTTACTCTGATTGCCATTATATCTCAAGATAAAAATCATCCTATGAATTTTTTGCGTGCTGATAATGTCAACTAGGAAATATGGGCTTATGAAACCTCCACCTTCAGCTGAAGATCTCGAAATGAACATTGTATAATAGACTCTGTCAATTCCATTCTCTTTTGAAAGGGCATTCCTATGCCCTCCAGTCAGCGTTTTTGTATTTGTCATATCTAACAATTGAAAGGCTTTTGATGGAGAAAAATACATGAGTTTAGTTTGGGGAAAATAACTTTTGATTGAAAAAAACACTTGTAGAAGCAGGAGAAAATTTTTACGTATACCTACCCCTTTCGCTATCAATCAACCTTCCTTGAACATTCACATCACAGAGTGTTAAGGATGTATCTTTTGTAGTTAGTTTTATAGTAAGAAAAGAGCCAACGGCTTCCGTATCGCAGGAATAGCAGTCGTATTGGGTATTATCTGTTGAAGATGGTCTCTTCACTGGTCCAACAACGTACTTACAAAGGTTCTTGTTATCGTTTGGATAATCTCCAGCAAAAATATTAAACTCTTTCAAATTATCCCCTTTGTTTTTTGGAATATTGTTAATATGGCGAATTTTTAAATATTTACATTGGATGCAAACAGAAAACATTGACAAAATTGTGGTTTTACCCCAACCCTAACCCTAACCTTAACCCTTAGGTGGGAATTGTACTATTCTTGCTAACCAGTTTAGATATCTCAGTTTTGGATGTTTTTTGTCAACTCCATTTATGTTACATTCTCACTTACATATATCGTCATTGACATTTAGTAGACAGACCTTTGATATGCCATAGATTTTCTCAAGGTCAACAGACCACCAAGATTCGGCCAGAGAATGCTTGTGTGTTGTTGAGCAATGTTTGGTCTGTAAGAAGAGTATACAATATCAAACGTAAACTATGGGGATAGGATTGTCTCAAATTTGCATTTTGTCTATTTAGTCTGAAGCCGACTCGAGTTAATATTTCACTATGTACACATACATTTGTCAGCTCTATTCTACTATAGATAGGTAGTATTAAACTTGTATTGTAGAGTACTGATAACACTGATAAGATAAGCAATGCTGTACACATATTTTCGTCAGCTCTATTTCACTATAGATAAGTAGTATTAAACTGGTATTGTAGAGTACTGATAACACTTATAGATAAGCAGGAGTGACCTAGATTTGCATAGTGTGGTACATACACAAGGTGCTGCATTCGTTCTATTAAAACATATATAAAAATAGTTATTTCCATCATAAACTTGAATATTCACTGAATGAATTTATAAATTTATCAACTTTAATTGAAATTAATTTAATTGAATGACAAATATGCTTTTGCCATCAATTTTAGATTTTATTCATAAATTAGTAGTATTGTATACACAATCCTACTATACATAACATATATATTCATCAGATATCTTCCCTTCTTATATACTGATGCTAAAATTATTTGAAACCAATTATTACTATTAGAGTAGTAACTAAAAATGGTCAAATATATAATCCTTGTGTTTTCTTGATTATTGGACTTGTCCTATTAAAATTGTTACATCTTATGCAACTCTTCAACCTTCGAAATTCAACTATTATTTGGAAGAGGAAAACAATAAGAACATGACCATATTTAGAACTTTTCTTTGTCTTAAAAATGTTACTTTTGTTTTTGTGAACATTGAAATTGGTGAACTATCAACTCTTAAAAGAGTATATAAACCCTTAGAAATTAACAGTTGATAGTTCAGTTCTCTAACTGATAGCTAGTTGTTTAAACTTGCTTATTTAGAACTTGAAACTCGTTTTTACTCAATACATATTCTTTGCACAAAATACTCGTATTTTGTTGATTAATTTCTACCGAAATTACATTTATTAAACTACTTGTGGACGAACTTGAAAGGTTCTATTTGTTTGAGTACTTTGGTAAATTGGTAAATGATTGGAAAGGACCAAATCAGTGGTGACGAACCAGAAATTCCTACAATTACTATACAACAAAGTACACACTATATTATCAAAAGTCCAAAAAGTCCAAAGTAAGACATAAAAATTAAAGTAGAAACTCTTGGAAAGAATGTAAGTTTTACTTACATCAGCATATGAAACATCAACATCATCGTCATTGGCGTACATGGGTGATGTGGCGTAAGAATCAGTTCCCATAGTAGAACTTTGAAAAGAGGTTTTTCCTCTTGCTAATTCAATGCTTGTATTTGATTGATAACTGCAATAACTGTCAATATCAATGGTAGATACTTCATTTTGCAGACAAGCATAGCTACTGTGGAAGAATTTATTGATTTAATTAATATATCTTTCTAAGGCATAAATACATTATGTGTTTTGGGTGAAATAAAAAATTAATTGTCTTTCATCTGCAAAGGCCATTTTTGTAGTATTTCAAAAACTGAGCATTCATTCTAAAATCATCAAATATTCAGAGTACTTTTACATTAGCAATGATAGTTTATTATATAAAGGTTTAGCATTGTTTTTGAGAGAAAAACAATATTCTCATAGTTCATAAAGAATTAACAGGTGCATTTGGTTACAACAGAAGAATCAAGATACTAAATATAGTATCTTGATTCTTTAAAAAAAAAAATGATATGCTTACAATGTTTGATGAAGAAAAAGATTTTGAAAATGTACTTGCTGTTTTAAATTTGTCAGTCAATTCTGCAATTATAATAAACCTGAGTAATATATGATTAAGTATTTTTTGGTATTGTATTTTTGAGGATTTTGTTAAGGTTTTTGTTTGGGTAATGGTTTAGGGCCACTCACAAAATCTAATTTTTAATAAACCTATACATTTTAACTCAGCTCTGTGTATCACAAACTAGTCAAGCTCCCAACCATTTACCATTAATAGAAATAGATAAGGAACTAATTTTCAAGGCCTTTCGCCATGTCTATTGTATATTGACCACAGCCAGAACAAAAAGTCATTTTTCTACCACTTTCACATACAGTGAGGTAACCTTATATGACACTTTTTAGGGCTAGGGCTAGGGTTTTATACATAGGTATGCACTCTCATACTCCTAGTATGAATGCCTGAAAGGGTGACTTCATATGGAGAAATCAACTGTTTACTGAACAATGGCAGGATAATCTCTCAGATCGAAACCCTACATTGTCTATTAGACATAATACAAGGTCCACTCTGCCAGTTTTCCAACTGGGTGAGATATACTCCACAACTCAGTTAGATTTTTATATTTAAACTAGACAGCGAGACCTAAGTTCTGATGAATAGTTGAATAACTAC